TGCTCAACATCATTAATCATTAGAGAAATGCAAATCAAAACTACAATGAGATATCATCTCACACCAGTCAGAATGGCCATCATCAAAAAATCTAGAAACAATAAATGCTGGAGAGGGTGTGGAGAAAAGGGAACACTCTTGCACTGCTGGTGGGAATGTGAATTGGTTCAGCCACTATGGAGAACAGTATGGAGGTTCCTTAAAAAACTACAAATAGAATTACCATATGACCCAGCAATCCCACTACTGGGCATATACCCTGAGAAAACCAAAATTCAAAAAGAGTCATGTACCAAAATGTTCATTGCAGCTCTATTTACAATTGCCCGGAGATGGAAACAACCTAAGCGCCCATCATCGGATGAATGGATAAAGAAGATGTGGCACATATATACAATGGAATATTACTCAGCCTTAAAAAGAAATGAAATTGAGCTATTTGTAATGAGATGGATAGACCTAGAGTCTGTCATACAGAGTGAAGTAAGTCAGAAAGAAAAAGACAAATACTGTATGCTAACGCATATATATGGAATTTAAGGGGAAAAAAAATGTCATGAAGAACCTAGGGGTAAGACAGGAATAAAGACGCAGACCTACTGGAGAACGGACTTGAGGATATGGGGAGGGGGAAGGGTGAGCTTTGACAGGGCGAGAGAGAGTCATGGACATATACACACTAACAAACGTAGTAAGGTAGATAGCTAGGGGGAAGCAGCCGCAAGGCACAGGGATATTAGCTCGGTGCTTTGTGACAGCCTGGAGGGGTGGGATAGGGAGAGTGGGAGGGGGGGAGACGCAAGAGGGAAGACATATGGGAACATATGTATATGTATAACTGATTCACTTTGTTATAAAGCAGAAACTAACACACAATTGTAAAGCAATTATACCCCAATAAAGATGTTTAAAAAAAAAAAAAAAAAAAAAAATAATGCTGTTTCACCTCAAGAATATTTGCTCTTTCAGAGAGTTTTCAGTGACACGCATGAAATTAAATCCTGCAGCTTCCTTACTACCAGACGGCAGTGCCACTTAATGCACATCCCTCTTCTCACACTATTCGTGTTCCAGATCTAGAGGTTGGACCCAGCTCTTAGGAATGGACACATCGACAACCAGGTAACTCTGATCTTTATCAGATAAGTAAATAAAAGAGGCAAAAGCAAACCAGTAACAGCAAGAGAAAACAACAGAGGAAATGAATATAGCCATTCATTTCACTTAAGCTCTGAAAGTGAAAAGTATTAGTGTGATGTTTGCAAAAAATTAATAAACGGAAATCTCAATAAAGTTGGGAGACCAGAGAGGAAGTTCTCACACCCTGCGAGGATAGCAGAGCCCAACAGGGAAAAGAAAAGTTCATCTTCTTTCCTGGCAAGAACTCAACCAACGAAACACCATGGGCTGTTTGTTTACCAGAGCCCTCCCAACTTCCTTTTTCCATCTATAAAAGTGTTCTCCTTCCCTTGCTGTGTGGGCACTTGTACAAACCCTGAATTGCAATTCTCTATTGACTCTAAATAAACCCATCTTTGTTGAAGAAATATCTGGCTGTCTATTTGTTTCAGGTCAATATGTTCAAATGAAATATATACCTACACTGGTTTTAATTCTCAAAAGAAAAAAACCCTATTCATATTCATCCAAAAACTGATTTCATGGCTGTCATTTTTTTTTTTTTTTTAGCCTCAATGGGCAGCATGTGGGATCTTAGTTCCCCGACCAGGGATCGAACTGGTGTCCCTGCAGTGGAAGCGCAGAGTCTTAACCCCTGGACAGCCAGGAAAGTCCCTCACGGCTGCCATTTCTGAAACATATAATAACGTGACTTAACTGATTTGGTATTCAAATTTACCTTAAATGACAAAAACTTAAAAAATGATAATAATATACTGCTTTTTGTACTTGTGCTACTGTTGACCATGATCAACCAGAAATGCATTTTGCTTATTTTAGTACTGTTGTTGCAATTGCACTAAACTATAAACCAGAAGTTATTACTGAACATCATGCTTTCTCAGATTGTCACCTATAAATAAACTGGGATTCGAAGTGGAGCTGCGGATTTTCTGAAAGAAACTACTGCAAATATTTTAAGAGTTGCAAGTTGTTCCTAATGAAAAACTGAATAAGTAGGCTTTTGTTTCATTTGTTAGTACTTTGGATAACATTTTATTTTTTCTGTCTTAAGTATGTTGTTTCTTACTCTCCTGCGTGTTTATTTCACAAGTTGAGGACATATGACAGTGAGACCAAAGGAAAGCTAACTATCATAGTCTTTGGATCATTTCCTTTTGCTATGATCGTATATAAATAAAAGATATAGGTTTTACTTCTCACTTATTAATTGTACTTAATGAAAATTAGTTGGCTATGTCAGTATTTATTACCCACCTCTTTTGCCAGCTAGATATGAGAAGGTATGTTTAACATATTTAAATCCTGATAACTTAATAAACAATAGAATATTGCATTGATGTATGATATTTAATATTTATTGTCCAAATCAAATTTCCCTTGTAAAATATATGGGTTATTTGGGGAAAAAAACTAATCATGCAATTACCACACAACTCAGCAGTTGTATTCCTGGGCATTTATCCCAGAGAAATGAAGACATCTTCACACAAAAACCTATACATGAATGTTCATAGCATCTTAATTTGTTTTACCCACAAACTGAAAACAATCCAGATGCACTTCAATAGATGAATAACCAAGCCGTGGAATACTACTCAGTAAGAAATGAACTATGGACACATGCAACAATGTGGATGGATTTCAAGAGTATTCTGCTGAATGAAAAAGGCAATCCCCCAAAATAACATACAATAGATTCCATTCATGCAGGATTCTTGAAATGACAAAATTACAGAAATGGAGAACAGATTAGTGATGGCCAGAGAGTAAGGAGGGAGTGAGGGTGAGAGAAAAGTATGGGCATGGGCAACTGAAGACTGGGAATCTTTCTTTATCTCGACTCTACCAATATATCCTAGTTATAATATTGTACTGTTAAGTGTTGCAAGATGTTACCATTGGGGGAACCTGGGTAAAGAGGACAGATGATCTCTGGGTATTATTTCTTACAACTGCATGTGAATCAACAATTACCTCAAACATTTTTTAAAAGTTTTAATTGAAAAAACGATTTGTGATTTTAAAAAGTTTGTCCTTTTTATTTTTCCTTGGGATTAGTCTGTATGTCATATATGTATAGGTTGCAACGTGACCTTAACATAAAAGATACTTTTTAATTTATTGTATTCTACATTCAGTCTCATTTTTTAAAAAGTGCTTTTAAATTGGGCACTTTGTTACATTTAGATGAATATAAATATATATAAATATAAACACATACACAGGTTTCCTTTGATAATTTTGACCTACCTTTTGGTTTCAAAAGGTTCAAAGTTCTGCTATTGTTTCTCATATTTTAAACTTTTTTTGTCATTTATCTTAATACTTCAAAATCATAAAATGAGGAAGGGGCAAAGTTGTTTTTGTACAAAGCGGCTTTAAATACACTGGTATCCACAGTAGGTACTGACAGCGGCGTGTTCGGAGGGGGAACAAAAAGTTCTCTAGCCAGTAAGCCTGGAATCTTTGCGTTGACCTTCAACTAGTCTCAACAGTCAGCAGCGCTGGTAACGGTAATAGGCTGACAGCCCTGAGTGACTCCGGGACGCCGGGTGGGAACGGTGCGAGCTCGGGCGCCGCGGCTCGGCTTTGAGCGGCTGGATCCCCGCGGTGCTTTAATAGCGGCCCCACGTGGTACAAATGGGAACTACAGGCATTCGGCGGCATCCTCTGCCACTGGGCGGACGAGGGGCCGGCCCGCATTAGCCTGCATCCTGCGCCCGAGGAATTAAAGCCCTGGAGAGGGGCCAGGACGATTTAACCCGGGAGATCGAGGCCTGGCCCTTCCCGCAGTGCACACGAGTGCAGGGGGCTGGGGTCACACTCGTCCTGGTGCCGCTCCGGTAAGCGGGTGACAGGCCACTTGTGCTTGGCAGGCAAGGGACCAGCCTCTGGAGTTCTCAGGGCGAAGGGACTTGGGGGGAGGAGAAGAGTGAAGAGTTCATGGGAACTGTGAATATTCAGTTTGGGGAATTAATGCCAAACAGTCTTCCGAAACAGTCCGTGGTCCAGTTGCTGTTCATCTTCTCCAACCTGAGTATTGTGATCCTTTAAATTTTATTTATTTTTTCCTTATGGTGGTGTGAAAGGGCATGGTTTAATGTGCCTCTTCCAGATCTGTTTCGCTACCATTCTTCCCCGTTTCACTAAGAGGCACCAGTTGACCACCCATGCCCTCAAGCCAAATCTTAGGAGTCTTCCTGAATTTCTCTCCCCTTCTCTGTCCATTATCAGCAAACCCTGTTGGTTCTACTTCCAAACACATCCTTTTCTCTACTTCAGCACCACCTTCCTGATCCAAACCATTAATGTCTCTCTCAAAGCTTCCAAAGATTTCCCTCCACCCCTGGTAATCCGCATCCCCACTCACCTTGGCCATGCAAACACAATGACCTTCCTGAAATATGAATCAAATTCTAGAATCCGCCATTCAAAAGCCAGCTCCTCTCCCCCACCCAAATTCCTCAGTTTACTAGACTCCAGCCACGTGGGCCACGGCCTTCTCTTTGACCACGTCAAGCCGTTTTGCACATGCTAGGGAGGGCTCTCCCCTCAGAATGGCTGCCTCATTCTCATCCTTCAGAGCTCAGTTCAAGGCCTTATCTAAATGAGGATCCTCACATCTGATCAGCTCCAGCCAATTACTCTTTCATATCACCAGGTTTTTGTTTTTGTTTTCCATCATAGCATCTCTGCAAGATAACTAGAGATTCTGGTATTTATTTCTTGCTTGTCCCTTCCACTGGAATATTAGTTCCATAAAGACTAGACTCTGTTTATCTTGATCACAGCTAAATCTGTAAGATCAAGTGCAATGTCAATTCAGAGAAGGCATTCAATAAATATTTTTGAATTAATAAACAGATAAAAAACATTTATTCTACTAAAAAGGGGTGGGTGGGTAAATGGGGCTACTACAGCATAAAAATGGATCAGGAGGTGAGAGTTGCACAGCAGAGATTCACTCACTTCAAACGAGAGCATGGATTTTACCTGAAGTCAGAGGAACCCCTTCCCTAACATAGAACAAGCATTCCTGGGGGCTCACTTGCTCTGGGAATGGGATACATCTATTGGGAGTATGTTTTTTTTTTTAAATGATAGAACTAAAACAGAGACATTAAGGGAAATGAATAATATTATACCAAGCATTATTTATAAATCCAGATCCTAATTCACAGCATGTTACAAAATTGGAAGTGTTAAGTAATATTATTCTTGTATCTTTCATACAAACAAAAGTTTTAGAAGAACTGATGGCCAGGGTATGCAATAGAGTTTTCCCATGGTAGGCTGGAATTTTGCCTTTTGAACAAAAACAAAAAAATCTTAGGACACAGAGAAAGCAAATATTTTAAAAACTGATTTCACAGTAATTATTCTGTATATTTTGAGTTATCTTTATATTATTGTTAAGCATCTCAAATCATTTCTTTTCCTGTTAATAAAAAGGGTACAGTCACAGAATCAGTGCCCTCAGAATAAAAAGTAAACAGAGGAAACAGGACACCTAGAGTCAGTAACATCCTCAGGGCCACATCTGGTCACTCAAAACCAAAAACTTTTGTTGATTTTCAACAACTCTTTGCATACTTAAGGTTTCAAATACGGCTGGTTCAGCAGGCCAGCTCTTCAGGACAACAGTATGTGCAGCCCAACACAGGATCATCCAAAACTATGTTAACAATTTCAGGATGCTGGTGTGGAGTCCATGGAGTTTTGTGTGTAAAAATTAGGAAAATCCTTCCAGCGATGAAGTTCAAGGCCAGGAGCATCCATCTCCCAGCCCCGTTTCAGTAGGCATCCCTAAGGTAAGGCTACGTTTCATCAGGCAAGAGAGCAGTCCGTTCCTCCTCTGTGCCGAGGCTATTTTGAAGTTTAGATCTACATTGAAGGAAAGAAGAGGCCAACCTCAGTATTTCTCACCTTAAAAAAAAACTCAGTACCTACATCTCTATCCAACTATTTCCGTAAATGTGTTTATAAAGTGATGAGGCTCAGAGTGCCCAGAAATCTCCAGAGTGGAAGAATGGATGTCAAATGGTGTCTTTTTTCCCCTCCCACAAGCCAACTTTTAAAGGGAGAAAAAAACCTCAAGAGTTGACCATACCTCCTTCTTCTCCTTGAATGCTCCAGTAGATAAAACAAGCCCATCACTAGTCCCTTTAACACAATGAAAGGTACTGGTTAATGTCAATTATCCAAGTCACATTTCTCCATAAACATAAGGAAAATGAAAGTAAAAGACTAATTACTCACACTTGTCAGAGCCCAGAGACCCTGCAGAGCAGCTGCCCATTCAAAACCAATTTTCTCATACAGAAATCCTCCCAGCGTTGGTCCTACAAAAGCACTAACAATGAAAAGAAGAAAGAGGATTATAGTGCAAAAAAAAAGTTACTCCTTATAGGCTGCGTGACTGCTTCAATTCATTATATTGAAACTATAGACACTAACGAAAAAAGCCAATTCCTGGACAGAGCATTAGGTGTAAGAAAATAATTCTACCTGACAGTGATGATGTTTAAAATTTTTAAACAATCCTAAAATTATAACTGCTTCTGAAAAGTTGGTGCCTTATATGAAAATTTTTAAAAGATGATATACATTCAAAAGAACCTTTATATTATTCTCTCTACTCTTCTAGATATTTGTATTTAAAACAACTCAGTACACACTTATTGATGATAGCTACATGGCCAGCATACAGTTATCCCTCTGGTATAGTAGAGAGTTAAAAATAAATACACAAATGAATGAATAAATGAATACATTTCAAAACTGAGACAGGCTCCTGTTAAAGGAACTTTAAAATATCACTTAAATAAGACAAAGTATATGAGACCATTTTGATTATGTATTAAAACTGCTGGTATAACCATTGATCTTGAAGTCAGACAGCTGGATTAGAACTGTAGCTCTGCCCTAAGTGAATTATGTGCCTTCTGGCAACTCATCTGACCTCTCAGTGTCTCAATTTCTTCATCTGTAAAATGGGGCTAGCATTTTCCAACTTGCAGGTGTGAACGAAATTCAATAGCTACTCACCCAACTGACCACAATGCACCAAAGAGACCTGACACAAGTCCCAAGGTACTTAATCCTTCTTCAAATCCATTTTCACTGCAAAGAGAAACGAGTGTGTCTGTGGTTAAAAGGGAAACCTGCATGAAACAAAAGAATAGTGTATGGTATAAAAATAAACCAGGGATAATCTGGATAAACCCAACAGCAAGAACACTCCATTTCTAAAATAAAAAGCTAATCTCATTTGAAGATATTACTCTAGTAATATTTCCTCCAGGGTTTTCTAAAAATACTTCTACTGCATATATAGGATACAATATTAAGAATTGTGACCCACTTGCATTAAATGTTTATTAAAGTATATAATTAACTAAGAAATTCTTCAAATGATATGAACAGGTAGAGAGAACGATGGGCAACCTTTAGAAAATACAGAGGCAGCTCCTCATTGCTTTGAGGCTTGTTGAACTGACAACAGCAGAGCCATCAGTGTTCTCCCTGCTCAAGTTCACTTTGTGTTCTTCATCTTTATGCCTATTAAACAAAAGACTGATGGCCAAGTGACAAAGATACATTTGGTCTTCTTCCCCATTTCCGGCACACAGCTCCTAAAACCCGTGGAATTTCTTAAGTGATGAAAGCCATAAAAAAAAATGTCTTTTGTTATGTTACCGAGATGACTTTGGGACTAGCACCCACGTTGCCTGGAGAACCAACATATGATTAGAGGGCTGGAACTTCAAGCCCCACACATCCCTCCCCCATAGAGAGAGGGGGTGGAGGTTGAATCAACCGCCAATGGCCAATGATTTAATCAGCCATGCATATGCAGTGATGCTTCCATAAAACCCCAGAAGGACTGAGTTCAGAAAGCTTCCAGCTTGGGAAGCCAGAATGCTTCCATGTGCCATTGTGCTGGGCCACAAACTCCACAAGGACAGAGGCTCTGCTGCTTGGGACCTTATCGCCCTATATATCTTGTCATCTGGCTGCTGATCTGTATCCCTTAATATCCTTTGCAGTAAGCCAGTAGCTAGTGAGTGAACTGGTTTCCTGAGATCTATGAGCTGCTCTAGCAAATGAAGAGAACCCACGGAGGGGGTCGTTGGAACCTCTGGTTTACAGCCAGTCGGTCAGAAACATAGGTAACAACCTGCATTTGAAACTGGCATCTGAAACAGAGGGCACTCTTGTGGGACTGAGCCCCTAACCTGTGGGATCTGGTGTTATCTCCCGGTAAATAGTGTCAGAATTAGTTGAATTGCAGGACACCCAGCTTGGCGGTGTGAGGGAGGAAAAACCCACACATTGGAATTGCTACTAGAATCCATTTACCTGGTCACTCTGTGCCCTTGTGTGGACCTCCTCTATGAGAGGGAAATGATGCTGAGGGCTTCCTACTGCGCTTTGGCTTTTTTTTTTTTTTTTAATTTATTCAAGTATTGTTGATTTACAATGCTGTGCTAATTTCTACTCTATGGCAAAGTGCTTCAGTTATACATATATATGCTTTGGCTTTTTAGAAGTATACCTATACCGAGGTGTAAACTAAGCCAAGCCTCTATCCACAACCCATTTTACCTATCATTGTATTAATATTACTATATATTATCATTTATATTATTGTATTTTTGCTTATACTATTTATAATCACAATATTGCATGACATGAAATCATGAAGATTTAGTATTGTAAAAAAATATCCAACATCCTACAAAATGAGAAATTCAAGGAAGCTTGTGATGTTTATTGCTAATCACGATACAGTTCTTCAAGCCATGGAAGTAACTTACTGTGCGCAGCTGAGAATCTCTGGGAAAGTTGAAATTAAACTCATTCCAGCAGAGATACCATTTATGACTAATATCAGCACCAACAACCAGAGCTGACTGCAAGAGAGTTTGGGAGAAAAGTTAACATTTAAAGAGACAGCAAAGCTTCACGCCAAGGAGGGCGGGCAGGATCTCAGACAAGTTCGTTTCACGGATGACATGACTAGTCTGGTCCTTACCCCCATCTGATCCCATTTTGTTCAGTGAAAGCACCTTTTAACTCCTTACGTTTTTGAGGGGGGCCAATGATCAATTTCTCCTGCTATCCCAATATCTTTGGTTACACACGTCACATGCCCAGAGTCGACCTGCCTTCTTATCACCATGTAAAAGCCTTTCAAAGTTGGTTAAAATGTCAACGTTAATGTTGCTCCTTCAAGCACTTGGCTTTGAAATTCCACTGACTGAAAAATGGCACAGAAGGAAAATGGTAAAGGAAGTGACAGGAACCTGCTACGTGTTCCATGTCGGGCCCTACGTCAGTTACTTCATATCCATTATTCTACTGAATGCTTGCAGCAACCCTGCCATGTAAGTCTGTTAAAAATGATTAAAGAAGACAATCTAGGTGACACAAACAAACTTTATTTAACACTTCATGAAGTGGATGGTCTCATTTTGGAGAACTGAAAAATGGGATAGAAGGCAGGAAGTTTTTACAGGATAAGGAAAAAAAAACAAGGAAGAGGGGCTTCCCTGGCGGCGCAGTGGTTGAGAGTCCGCCTGCCGATGCAGGGGACACGGGTTCGTGCCCCGGTCCGGGAAGATCCCGCATGCCGCAGAGCGGCTGGGCCCGTGAGCCATGGCTGCTGAGCCTGCGCGTCCGGAGCCTGTGCTCCGCAACGGGAGAGGCCACAACAGTGAGAGGCCCGCGTACCACACACACAAAAAAAAAAACAAGGAAGAGAAAAACAGGTAAATATCTGATTGTCTGGGGCTACGCAGTCCATCTTGTTTGGGGTGAGCGGCCCACAGTTGGTGGCTTGGCGTTTGGGGGTGACTGGGTGACAGGATAGACTGCTTTTCTGGTCAAGAGGAGCATTTACAGGGACATGAAAGTTTTCTAAGTTTTGGTTTGCTGACATGGAACCCTGGGCTGGAGTCACTCTATCTTGAGCCTAGAAAATTATTTCAACAGTACTATTATTGGCTTTTTTGGTGGATAAGAAAACTGAGGCTCTTGGAAATTATATTATTTGCTCAAGTTCACATACCAAGGAAGGGGCAAAGCCCAAATACAAACCCAAATCTGAAAGACTCTGAAATCATTCCTTTATCCATATCATGTTTTGTCCCAGAGGTACCTAAAAAGCTCTAAGTAGCTCATTTTATTTTAGAAAATAAATGATAATAAACAAGCTTGGGCTTCCCTGGCGGCGCAGTGGTTGAGAATCTGCCTGCTAATGCAGGGGACACGGGTTCGAGCCCTGGTCTGGGAGGATCCCACATGCCATGGAGCAGCTAGGCCCGTGTGCCACAACTACTGAGCCTGTGCGTCTGGAGCCTGTGCTCCGCAACAAGAGAGGCTGCGATAGTGAGAGGCCCGCGCACCGCGATGAAGAGTGGCCCCCGCTTGCCACAACTAGAGGAAGCCCTCGCACAGAAACGAAGACCCAACACAGCAAAAATAAATAAATTAATTAATAAACTCCTACCCCCACCATCTTCTTAAAAAAAATAAACAAGCTTTATTAAGTAGCTACCATATGCTAAGGATGATACAGAAACAAAAATGATTTAGTTCCCTCCTCAAGGGGCAAGAAGGAATAGAGAAAACAAAAGTATATTCTAAGAACTATCAGCTAAAGGTAGATAACAAATGCTACTTTTAAAATAAAGTACAGGACTTCCCTGGTGGAGCAGTGGGTAAGAATCCGCCTGCCAATGCAGGGGACACGGATTCGAGCCCTGGTCCAGGAAGATCCCACATGACGTGGAGAAACTAAGCCCGTGTGCCACAACTACTGAGCCTGAGCTCTAGAGCCCACGAGCCACAACTACTGAGCCCGGGTGCCACAACTACTGAAGCCCGCGCGTCTAGAGCCTGTGCTCCGCAACAAGAGAAGCCACCGCAAGGAGAAGCCCACACACCACAACAGAGAGTAGCCCATGCTCGCCACAACTAGAGAAAGCCCGCGTGCAGCAACAAAGACCCAACGCAGCCAAAAATAAATAATAAATTTTTTAAAAATTAACTAAAATAAAGTACAAATGTGCAATTGAAATACAAAGGGAGAATAAGCATTTTTATCATTTGATTCAGATGTTATGCATTCCTGTTTGCCTAGACCACTGCTAGCATCCAGTAATACTGTCAGTAAAACAAACAATTCAATATAGTCCTAAATCTGGTAATTATTTAAATAAGATTCAAAGATACTAAGCATATTAGTGTTACACCAAAAATTTTTTAAATAATTCCTAATGTTATTTTGCCACAAATTCAAAAGAAGAAAAAAAATTACCTCTTAATGTGCAAGAATGGGGCAGGTCCTAAGAGAATGTAGCACCCTGCTGTGATTAAGTTTCCAAAAACGAGAAGCCATTTCCTTAGATGCTGATAAAGAAAGACCACAGAAACTCTTAGAGGTAAAGATCTTCCATAGTTCAGGAAAATAAAGAAATCATTGAAGAACACAAGTCATGATATTAAAAAATCCAAATACATTGGAGAAAACAAAATTTTACATGTAAGAGAAAACACAAAAGCGAGTGCAATATACCCCAAGGCAGGGGTTGAGCAAAGGACAAGTATTCCTTGGAAAGGGATTGTATTGTAGATTTTGCACGTGATAAACTGTTCCAAATATAACAATTTAAAAAGCAGTCACCACAAGGAATGACCAAGTAGATGCACTATCTAGAAAATTCACATTATTAAAAAGTACCAAATAAAATGTTTCCTTATAAACTACTCAAACACAGGCTAAAAGTTATAGGGGTACGGTATCTGTTCAGTTATATAAGGTTATGCCTTAAAACTAAGTTACAAACACTGTTTAAGACACTTGCTTTTTTCCACCTGGATTACCAAGTAATCTCCATGTAATAAGTCTTCATAAATATATACCCACATCTAATTAAGAGGGGAAACACAAAAATAAGCACTAAAGTCATAGAAGCTTGAGACCTGGCTAACAGTACTAGCTCTGTATACTAGTCATCTGGACTGAATGGTTTAGACCTAGTTAAAGGAGACTAGAAAGGATTTTCTGTCAGGATGGCTATGGGATAACTGAGGCATATTTACACGACCAATCCTTTCACTCCCACAGAAAAACTAAATTCTATCCTCTCACCTTGGTCAAGTCCTAACTACTTTTGGGGCTCTGCCCTACTTATTAAGGTCAAACCACTTTTTTGCATCAAGGGAACTTTTTCCTTTAGAAAGTCTAATCCAAGAGTTTTTCAACAGTTTTAGCATAAGACTCCTCCTCTTTTCCCAGATGAAGCAATTAAAAAGTGAACCTGTTCAGGGTGATGGCGGGTTGGCACATACTGAGACCTCACACTGGAACCTCTCCATCAGCTTAAAAAATTGAATATATTAAAATTTAAATGTTCTCACTGCTCTCCACCCCCCCCCCAAAAAGGTAACTGTGGTGATGGATATGTTAATTCACCAGGTGGAGGGGATCCTTTCTCAGGGTGTATGTATACCAAATCACCATGATGTATACTTTAAATATCTTACAATTTTATTTGTCAACTATACCTCAATAAAGATAAACATTTTTTAAAAACTGAATATTTTAATTCTAATCAGTGGACCTCTAGAGTTCAGGAAGTACAGTTGGACAATCACCAGTCTAGACATACAAAAGTAACTCTTAAACATCGATAAAGCATACATACTGGCATTTTATCACTGAGTAGGCCCACCAGCGGTGAAGAAATGGTGTAGGATAGTGCCAAACCCAGGAATACCAGTCCCACATATCCAGCTGGTAAATTAAACTGTAAAAGAAATCCTGTGTTAAAGTTACATGGTTAAGTCATTTTTTCAATAAATATCTATCTTTTCCTTCTACCATTTCTTCAGCTCTTACTATCTGCCATGAGGCTACTACTAACAGTCAGCAACCTGCCTAATTTTTGTCTTACTCTTTTTTTTTTTTTTTTTGGTACACGGGCCTCTCACTGTTGTGGCCTCTCCCGCTGCGGAGCACAGGCCCCGGACGCGCAGGCCCAGCGGCCATGGCTCAAGGGCCCAGCCGCTCCGCGGCAAGTGGGATCCTCCCGGACCGGGGCATGAACCCGCATCCCCTGCATCGGCAGGTGGACTCCCAACCACTGCGCCACCAGGGAAGCCCTGTCTTACTCTTATAAACGGATTACATTTTCTCTATAGGGGAAAAAGCCTAACTACAGGTCAGAAGTCCTGGATGTTTTTGATTTGTAGCATTTGACATTAAATATAGTATAATTATCCTTCTATGAATCATAGCATTTTTACATGTCAATCAGTGCTTTGCAAACGTTAGTATGCACAAAAAATTACCTAGAGAACTTGTGGGTTTTTTAAAAAATAAATTTATTTATTTTGGGCTGCATCGGGTCTTCGTTGCTGTGCACGAGCTTTCTCTAGTTGCTGCGAGCGGGGGCTACTCTTCCTTGAGGTGCGTGGGCTTCTCATTGTGGTGGCTTCTCTTGTTGTGGAGCACAGGCTCTAGGTGTGTGGGCTTCAGTAGTTGTGGCACACGGGCTCAGTAGTTGTGGCTCGTAGGCTCTAGAGCACAGGCTCAGTAGTTGTGATGCGTGGGCTTAGTTGCTCCGAGGCATGTGGGATCTTCCCGGACCAGGGCTCAAACCCGTGTCCCCTGCATTGGCAGGTGGATTCTTAACCACTGAGCCACCAGAGAAGTCTGGAGAACTTCTTATAAGAGGTTCTTGGATGCCAGCCCTTGAATTTCTGATTCAAAAAGTCTGGGATGAGGCCTGAGAATGTGCATTTCTAACAAAAATCCCAGGTATGCTCACTGCTCTCAGACTGAAGTGCACTGGTGTAAAAAACACTGACAATAATATCTATTCTATCCATCTCAAAGAGATATAAATTTCTAATTAAAGAATTAGATGGTATGACACATTTTAAAAGGCTTCTAAAGTAGTAAGCTACCTCATAACTCTGCTACCGTTACTGTTACCAACATGATATAAATGCCTTTCTTGGTTATCTGGGTTGTTCTCATTTTCCTTAATTTCCTTAACTAATCCTTAATTAAGCCTATGAGATCTATTTATACATCAGTATATGTTTGAATAATTTTAATGACATAACTCAAGCTAAAAATCAGCCGTTTAAAGACAGTTGCAAGATACAAAAGTCAGAAATGTCCTCTTCTGATTTTACAACGGGGGAGACAGGGTGGAGCCCTCCTTCCCTAAAAGGCTGAGCGACTGGACAGCAAACAGCCAATACAAAAAACTGTTAAGAAGGCAGAAGAAGGGCAACAGGAACAAAAATTGGATAGAAAAACCAGAAAGTACCTTTCTAAGGATTTTTTTATAAGTTAGACACGAGCAACTTGGGTTTATGAGAGATTGGTTACAAATTTTTTTTTTCATTGTTTGGACACACTTCTTAAAAGAACAGAAAAATGACTTAAAGAAACACGTTGTTGGGCTTCCCTGGTTGTTCAGTGCCTGCCAGTGCAGGGGACACAGGTTCAAGCCTTGGTCCAGGAAGATCCCACATATTGCAGAGCAACTAAGCCTGTGTGTCACAACTACTGAGCCTGTGCTCTAGAGCCCACGAGCCACAACTACTGAGCCCATGTGCCACAACTACTGAAGCCCACACAGCTAGAGCCTGAGCTCCGCAACAAGAGAAGCCACCGCAATGAGAAGCCTGCACACCGCAATGAAGAGTAGCCCCCGCTCTCTGCAACTAGAGAAAGCCGCGTGCAGCAATGAACCCAATGCAGCCAAAAATAAATAAATAAATAAATTTATATTTTAAAAAAAGAGACACGTTGTTGATAATGTGAATGGAATGTGTCACCATAAATACAAAGTATTTTTCTTATGCATTACCTCATAGATGCTCACTTCTTAAGTGTGATATTATATTATTTTCCAAAACTTGGGTCCGGCACTAAATTAACAGTCCCCAAGTTTACCTGTGAAATACCCAAAACTGTCTTTACTGACTTGAAGGGGTTGTGTTTCTGGTAACAGTGCTTTTTTCATTCTAGGGCCTCAAATAAAGTGAGTATGGACTGCAGGTAGTAGATTTCTATCTTTATAAACACAGATTAATTCTCCAGGATAATTAACTATCAGACTTAGTAATTTATTGCATTATTTATTAATAATCTTTTTTCAAAAATATCTAAGAACAAATTGCTATAACATCAAACTTTAAAATTCAGTATATAATTTTCAGCATTAAGAAGATGGAGGGCTTCCCTGGTGGCGCAGTGGTTGAGAGTCCACCTGCCGATGCAGGGGACGCGGGTTCGTGGCCCGGTCCAGGAGGACCCCACATGCCGTGGAGCAGCTGAGCCTGTGAGCCATGGCCGCTGAGCCTGCGCGTCCGGAGCCTGTGCTCCGCAGCGGGAGAGGCCACAACGGTGAGAGGCCCGCATACCGAAAAAAAAAAAGATGGAGAGAGATTCTTGGTTCCTTTCTCTCATCTCAGATTAATATAGCCCACAGTCTTTTGAATATGTATGCAATAGACTAAAAAGTAAATGGACCCAGAAAAGAAGGGACACCTCACGTTAAATGAGCCACTAAGTATCCCAAATGCCTCACTGGAATCAAAACAGAGGAAAGTATCCTTATTAAGCAGCCAGGATGTTGCCCAAGCCAGACCTATGATGACTCGAGCAAGGCCTTGGAAAAAGGAGACCAGATGAAAGGCTTCTTTCATTTACACCAAATCAGACCCCTAGTTATAGGGACATCACAGAGGGAAGGTACAGGCTGTCTTGGTGAGTAGCTCTCATTCTGCCTCCTTCTTGAAGCCACTCCTAGGATTTTCCATCAAGCAGGGCCCAAGAGCAAGCAATTATGTCCACCCGCTACAATGTGGAGGTCTGCATCACCAGGCTACTCACCTTCTCCAAAACAAAGAGGGACAGCGTAGGATCAAGGAAGCCAAAACCTGAGCTGAGTGAGGTAATGACGAGGGATATAAAGGCAACCTTGGGTAAAATGATGAGTTTCCAGAATGAGTGTTTCCCTGGATCAGACTCTGTGGAGTAAAAATAAAAAAAGAAATTAGAGTAATGAAAATTGCTTAACTTTATCTTTCAATCTATTTTGAAAAGTAAAATTGGTAAGGTCACCTTTATCCAGTAATCAAAATAAACACACGTTTGAGTTTGCCTAAAATTTGCATATAAGTTATTCAAACCTAGAGGCCATTTCAGTGTTCTTAAAAATAATTTCTCTAGTTCAAAAAGAATCAACTGGAATCAGAGTGTGAGGAGAAGAAGCAGTCTTGGTTACGGGTCATAACCTAGAAGTCAGTGAGGCCTTCCCAGATGGGGTAGAGAATATGTAAAGTTTGATTTGATGCATAGGAAAAGCCAGACGCTTTATCGGGGAAAAATGTGTGTGTGCTGAGGAGGAATCTGAGTTAATCAAAGAATACAAAACAACTTTTTTCTGCTCGTGAAAAAAAACACTGGATTGAAAGGGATGCTCGGGACTTCCCTGGCAGTCCAGTGGTTAGGACTCCCTGCTTCCACTGCAGGGAGCATGGGTTCGATCCCTGGTCAGGGAACTAAGATCCTGCATGCCGTGTGGTACGGCCAAAAAAAAAAAAAAAAAGAATGAGATGCTACTGAATCACGTGTACATTCCATTTGGCAGTAAAGGTCAGTTGAACAGCAACCTCATGTCCTGCCATTCCAACAGCAACACAACTTCTGCACCGTCCCAAGCACCAGGCATGGTTGTTTCCAAGCCGCCAATCATATCCTACAACTCCCTTCTTTTTCCCCTGCTAATTTTTCAAGTTCTATTCACTCTGTAAAGTCTGGCTGTGACTCTAATTACGCCACAAGTTTTACCTGTTTCCTACTGCACTTCTAATCTATACCATGTAATTTAGCACTTAAACTGTATTTCATTTTACGTGGTTTACTACTGTTTGATGACTTTCCTGTCTTCCAACTAATTTACTGAACAAAATCTATGCTGAGTCAGATACCATGCAAAATGCTGGGCAGACAAAGGCAAAGGAGACAAACCCAGGCCCTGACCTCACAGAGAAGATACAGTAAGGCGTGGAGAGAGCTAGGATGGAGCTAGGAGGGTATGGATTGGAGCATATGAGAGGGTTGCCTTAAAAAAACAGGGAAAGCTGTTTAGGAAAGAATTTCCAAAAGTAGTGATATCTAAGTTGCTGCCTAAAAGATGAGCTTGAGATGAACAAGCAAAGAAGGAGGAAAGAATAATCCAGGCATATTATCCAGGAATGGCTCATTCCAAGACTCAGAAGTGAGGGAAAACTATTCTGTTTGAGGAAATGAAAGAGCAGAAGCAAAGGTGGAGGACGGAAATTGGAGGGTAGGGAAGAGAGATCACATTGGAGAAGGATGGAGTGCTAAGATTATGCAGCACTTGTAAAATAGGCTAAGAAGCCCGGGAAATCACTAGACACTGCAAACAAAGACTGAGAATCAGATCTGTGGTTTAAAGAGACCCCTCCGTGGTCTCCTGGGAAATGCAGACAGGGGGACGAGTTAGGAGACTGTGCACTGAGCCAGGCCAGGAAGCTCTCTGAGGGCCAAATCAGCACTGACATATCCTCATTTCTCCAAAAGCACCCACCACAGTTCATTACTCAATAAATTCTTGGTGAATAATGATCCAGTAGGGAGCAAAGTACCAAAAAAGCATAAAGTGTGGTTCAACTATTTTAAGTTCTACACTTGGACTTTGGCAGGATATGAGGGATAAAGTTAAACCGTGGTGTTCGTTCCTTAGCTATTAGCCAAATATTCAATGATGAACCAATTGTGAGCCCAGCCTAGGATGTTTAACTACAGATCTGACTTAGAACGGGGATAGGCACCACCATGTGGCTCAGTGTGGCAGTGCCAGCAGGGAGACTTCACTGGGTGTGGATTTTGGACTGTATATTACAGATGTTTATTAGTCACCTTTAAAATATAAATGATAAAAGATCAACTGTAATCAATTACATTTATTATGCATATAGAAGGTATTATGGATGTATGGTATAAGACAAATTATTATGGCATAAATGGTCCCTTTCTCTAAATCCAAAGTGGGAAAGGGGATTATCGCAATAAGAACATACAGGAATGTACATGAAAATGAACACATAATGAGTTTAACTAAGCTGTTGATGAAGCCCAAGTAGGTGATACCTACTTCCAGAGGCACGTGACAAAATCACCTGGGAAGCTTTTCCAAGCTACTCAGGTATTCTCTCTGCTTCCTCCAATTCTGATACATTCTTCTTGGAGGGACAGGACTCCATGGTTGACAATGCCTGCCACAGGAAACTGCTCTTAGAGATGAGGAAGTGGTGTGGCCCTCAGGTGTGAAGGGGCAGGAAAAATGCAGAGCACTGTGGCACTAGTGACTTAGCATTTAGATCATTGATTGAGAAGGTTCAGAAAAACCTCCCAGAAGAGATCATACAAATTAAGTTTTGAAGGATGAGTAGGAGTTAGGTAGAGTAGAAGTGGGAGATAGTCCAGCTCATGTGACTCCCCTGCTGACACCTAACAACAGCTCCTAGCGGCTTTCAGGATAAAGCTCTCATTTCATGGATTTAGGGATTTTTATTAAGAGGATTGTCATGTACTTGACTGTGTTTTAAAAATATTTCTTTAGTGCAGTATGGAAGAGGTGACTTGGTGAGCAGATATAAAGGATGAGAGAGAGGGAGGGACCGAAGTTGACTCTTAGACACCCAAACCTAAAGCTACATTGTTCATGGGTCTAGAAGCAGTTAAATGAGTGAGGTGGAACTTATAGAACAAAATTCTGCCAATATCATCAAAATAAAAGAAAATTTAATTTTCTAGCTTCTATCTATAAGCTTTCCTAAAACATTAATATTTAAAGGTACTCAATGGGAACCCCTAAATCAATATTTATACCCTTAACATTATCAATTTTTGAGATTTAAAAAAAATACCAGATTTTTCCATTCAATCTAAAGAGAAGATCCTTCTTTTGTTTTTTGTTTTTTTTTTTAGAAGATCCTTCTTTAGATAAACAGAAAGTTTGCCAAACCATTTTTAATGGGCAAAAGATCTAAATAGACATTTCTCCAAAGAAGATATACAGATTGCCAACAAACACATGAAAGAATGCTCAACATCACTAATCATTAGAGAAATGCAAATCAAAACCACAATGAGGAATTACCTCACACCGGTCAGAATAGGCATCATCAGAAAATCTACAAACAACAAATGCTGGAGAGGGTGTGGAGAAAAGGGAACCCTCTTGCACTACTGATGGGAATGTAAATTGATACAGCCACTATGGAGAACAGTATGGAGGTTCCTTAAAAAACTAAAAACAGAATTACCATATGACCCAGCAATCCCACTCCTGGGCATATACCCTGAGAAAACCATAATTCAAAATGAGTCATGTACCACAATGTTCATGGCAGCACTATTTACAATATCCAGGTCATGGAAGCAACCTAAGTGTCCATAGACAGATGAATGGATAAAGAAGATGTGGTACATATATACAATGGAATATTACTCGGCCATAAAAAGGAACGAAATTGGGTCGTTTGTAGTGAGGTGGATGAACCTAGAGTCTGTCATACAGAGTGAAGTAAGTCAGAAAGAGAAAAACAAATACTGTATGCTAACACATATATATGGAATCTAAAAAAAAAAAAAATGGTTCTGATGAACCTAGGAGCAGGACAAGAATAAAGATGCAGACGTAGAGAATGGACTTGAGGACACAGGGCGTGGGGAAGGGGAAGCTGGGACAAAGTGAGAGAGTGGCACTGACATATATACACTCCAAACGTAAAATAGATAGCTAGTGGGAAGCAAACGCATAGCACAGGGAGATCAGCTCGGTGCTTTGTGACCACCTGGAGGGGTGGCATAGGGAGGGTGGGAGGGAAAGGCAAGAGGGAGGAGATATTCGTCTCCTACAAAAGCATAAAAATACTTAAATTTAAGGTTCTTAAAGTGAGTAATATATGAGGCCTTACCATAATTAGGTAAAATACACATGTTGAGGGGAACCATCAGCAGAACTATGCATCCCAGAAGAATGAAAGGCACCTCATAGCCAAAGGATTGATACAAGAAGCCACCCAAAGGAGGCCCTAGTACTAGACCCAGTCCAGAAAAAGTCTCAAGACTTCCCTACAAATGGGAAAACAAAAGAAAATTGAGTTAATATATTTTGTTTGAAAAATGAACAAAGATTTAATGGGCAGGATCTGAAAAAAATTCTATCCACTTTACAATTTATACACATACCACACACACACCCAAGATGGACCAAAAATTTAAACATACATATTAAAATCATATAAGTACTAGAAAAATTAAAAATGAGAGTTTTTTGTTTTCTAATCCTTATGGTGAGGTAAATTTTCTAATTATGACATAAAAACTTAGAAGACACAAAAGAAAAGACTGATAAATCTGATTACATGAAAATATGAAAAACTATGAATGGCAAAAAAAAATCAAAAGACAAATGAAGAATGGGGAAAAAATACTGACAAAGGACTAATTTCCCAAATGCATCATAAGAGCAACTACTAATCAATGAGAAAAATCAACAGTCCTATGGGAGGAACTTCCCTGGTGGTGCAGTGGTTAAGAATCTGCCTGCCAATGCTGGGGACACGGATTGGATCCCTGGTCCGGGAAGATCCCACGTGCCGTGGAGCAAGTAAGCCCATACGCCACAACTACTGAGCCCACGAGCCACAACTACTGAGCCCGCATGCCACAACTACTGAAGCCCACGCACCTAGAGCCCATGCTCCACAAGAGAAGCCACTGCAATGAGAAGCCTGTGTACCACAAGAAGCAGTAGCTATTGCTCGCCGCAACTAGAGAAAGCCTGCGTGCAGCAACGAAGACCCAATGCAGCCAAATAAATAAATAAACATATTTAAAAAAAATTTAGAAAAAAGAAAAAACACAATCCTATGGGAAAATGTTGTAAATAGACTGTTGACATATAAAATGAAATACTCTAATGTGAACTGGCCATCTCTAAGTTGCAGGACAGCAAAGGCACACTCCAAACATGTTTTGCCACAAAACCTTGTCTTACAGAGCATGTCAATGGATTAGCATCCTTCTGAACCCTTCTTGAGAAATGTAAACAGTACACCTGTTACAGTGGCCACCACTGCATGGCAAATGACTACAGAACCTAAAGTGAATCTATACAGATATATATACATACATATATATATATACTTACATGGGTGTATAAATATATGTGTACATATATTTAATAAAAGTGTGAAGATTTATATTTATACAGCAAACAGTTTACCTGAGTGTCAAAACTTTCAAACTGTAGTATTAATATGGGTAAATGGGAGAATCCTTGGTACTGAGCTGATTAGACCCTGAGGTCTCTGAGGGTGGTGCCTGCTCTGCGATGCAAACCAGGAGTCCTTCGGGGATGTCTGGGTCCAGAGGAGTGAGCTATGGGAAAGGCTAGTTGGGATCAGGGAGACAGCAGCCAAGAGCTAGGACAGGAACCTGGTATGTCACTAATACCTGGTGTCGAGGCGCGGAGGCAATATATGAGAATGTACGCCAATACGATGCTACCAGGCTCTGGATTTTTTTGGTAAAATAAGAGGGCGCTCCTCAGACTGACTGCACAGAAGCATTTATGGACTTCAGAATGATCTCTAAGGTCCTTTCCGTGAACCTGGGAAAAGTGGAGGAAGGGCTCTAGTATAAATCTGCTTCAGGCGGCCTAGCTACAATCTAGGCTATAGAGAGACAACAAAATACTATTAGAGAGGGTTTTTTTATTTTTTAAGGGGTAAAAAGAACATTTGGTTTTGCCCATTCAGGGGCTTCTAAGCCCAGGAAGAGCACCTAAGTAGACTAAGGGTATATTTATTGACAGCCTGCTGCTACAGGCAGAAATTGGGGTAAAAGGTAACAAAAACAGAAAGTAGAAAAAAGGCAGGTCTAGAAGAATGGGTCCCAGGTTTAACTTGAAAGGCCAAATAAATATTTTAGCCTACACTAAACGGAAAATAGGAAAAGTGTAAAAAATACCTACCATTACTGTAGCCACGTTATTTGGAAAAGCCTTTGCAAGGATAGAAGAGGATGCGGTTATTGCTGCAGCAAAACTGATTGCGTCAATTATTCTCACTAGAAAACACATAGCAATAAACACGGGTCCTTCTGGAACTTGGTCCAATACACTAAAAAAAGAATAAGATGACTCTCAAGCGCCAAATTGATTTTGAGTTTTTTAAACTGTACTCACTGAAAACCATAGTACCTCAACCATAGTTATGAAAATAAATCTCTTTAGAATACAAATTTTTAAAAGGTTTCTTTGTTATATTTTTAGTAGGAGGAATCTGAGTCATAATGACAGCCTCATTGCGCTTTTTTACTGATATATTTGATGCCCTAAATAATAATACTAAATAGGCCTTTTGAAAAATGTAGAGTCACTCTGATAAGAACATATGTAGAAAGCCTTCTCAGTTTTAGGTCTCCCCCCAAACATAAAAAAAACACAGGAAGAGGAAAGCAAAACCAGGAACCTGAGAAAGATTTCTGATGACATTATCTTAACATTTGTATCCTTATGTTCTTCAGCTGATTCTTTAGGTAAGAAATTCACCTTTCTGCTTAAGCCAAAAAGTTTTTGTGACTCAGAAAAGGGAGTTAAGTTTCTGTCTCTCACGATCACAGGAGTCCTAAAGAACAGATTCAGCAGCCGGCTTAATGGTGATCCCCTAGAGGACTCTTTTCTTAAGATCAATGTCATTCATTCCATTCACTGTATCATTCAACTCCCTTCAACATTAGTCACATGGTATTGACTGATTTACATAAACCATTAACATTTTAAACTGAAGATAAATTATGAAATCTGTTCAAGCTCCCAAACATATCAGAACATGACTTACCCAAAGAGAACTGTAACTCCTCCTGAGACAAACATTCCTGCTACAAACATAAATTTTGCTCCAATATGTACAAGCTATAATAAATGTCAAAGAAAAGTGTAAATTGATGACTGCTACAAGTCTATAGTGACATAAACAAATCCACTGTATCAGGAAACAAAAGATTTGGGGAAGATATGTACAGTTAATAAAACATTATAAGTCTTTAATGGAATGACAACATGCGTTGCTTACAAACATGGAAGAAGTTAAAAATCAATCAACTTTAAGAATGGAACTGTCAACTGAAGCACGATTCATAAAATACAATGGTGGTTATTTCTGTATCAGTGGAAGTTCTAGACTAGTAAATTAGAATAACTCATTACACAATTTTAAAAAATTAATACTTACATATTTTCCAAATACCAAAGATGCCAGCAAGTTAAAGAAAGCATAACATCCAAAGATCATACCAATAACTGTATTGCTGGCTCCTTTCTTTTCAGCCTTTAAAGAAACAGAAAAGAAAACAAAGTTTGAAAGGCAAATTAGCACCAATATAGAAAAATGGAGCTATTAGATCAGAGCATCATCTTCTTGTAACCTTTATCTGTAGAGTAATTTCAAAGATTATTATTTTAAAATAAACAGGGTGAGGAAGGAAAGGAAACTATTAAACCTAGTCTCTGACATGAAAGTAATTCACCCACCAAGCCTATAAAAAATTTTTAGCTTTACAATCTTGAGAGAAAAAGGAACAAAGCTGGAGGAATCACACTTTTTGATTTCAAAAATAAGTTACAAAGGTACAGCAATTAAAACAGTGTGTTACTGGCATAAAGACAGACATATAGACCAATGGAACAAAATAGAAAGCTCAGAAATAAACCCACATAAATATGGTCAATTGATCTTCCACAAGTGTGCCAAGGACACACAATGGGGAAGAGATATTCTCTTCGACAAATGGTGTTGGGAAAACTGGATACCCACATGCAAAAGAATGAAATTGGACCCCTATCTTACACCACTCACAAAATAATCTCAAAGCAAATTAGACTTAAACATATAATCTGAAACTGTTACGCTTCTGGAAGAAAACAGGGGGTGAGGGCTTCTTGACATTGATCTTGGCAATGATTTCTTGGATTTGACACCAAAATCTTAGGCAACAAAACAGACAAATGGAACTACATCAAACTAAAAATCTTCACAGCAAAGGAAACAATCAACAGACTGAAAAGGCAACCTACAGAATGGAAGAAAGTATTTGTAAACCACCTCTATATAAGGGGTTAATATCCAAAATACGTAAGAATCTCCTACAACTCTATAGTCCAAAAAACCACCACAAAGAACCTGATTTAAAAACGAGCAAAGAACGTGAACAGACATTTCTATAAAAGAGATACAAATGACCACCAGATATATGAAAAGCTGCTCAAGATCGCTAAGCGTCAGGGAAATGCAGATTAAAATCATAATGAGATATCATCTCGCACCAGTTAGGATGGCAATTATTGAAAAAGACAAAAGATAACAAGTGTTGATGAAGATGTGGAGAAATTGGAACCTTATACACTGTTGGTGGGAATGCAGAATAGTGCAGCCACTATGGAAAACAATATGGAGGATCCTGAAAACATTAAAAATAGAACTACCATATAATTCAGCAATCCCTCTTCTGAGTATATGTCCAGAAGAATTGAAAGCAGGGTCTCAGGTATATTTGCACCCCCCATGTTCACTGCAGTATTATTTGAAATAGCCAAGATGATATAGAAACAACACAAATGTCCATTGATTGATGAATGGATAAAGAAAATGTGGTATACACATAAAATGGAATATTATTCAGCCTCAAAAAGAAGGAAATTTTGGCACTTGCAACAACATGGATGAACCTTGAGGAAATTATGCTAAGCGGAGTAAGCCAGTCATAGAAGAACAAATGCTACATGATTCCATTTATATGAAGTATCTTGGGGCTTCCCTGGTGGCGCAGTGGTTGAGAATCTGCCTGCTAATGCAGGGGACACAGGTTCGAGCCCTGGTCTGGGAGGATCCCACATGCCGTGGAGCAACTGGGCCCGTAAGCCAAAACTACTGAGCCCGCGCGTCTGGAGCCTGTGCTCCGCAACAAGAGAGGCCGCGATAGGGAGAGGCCCGTGCACCGCGATGAAGAGTGGCCCCCGCTTGCCACAACTAGAGAAAGCCCTCACATAGAAACGAAGACCCAACACAGCCAAAATAAATAAATTAATAAGCTCCTACCCCCAACATCTTCTAAAGAAAAAAAATGGGCAGAAGACCTAAATAGACATTTTTCCAAAGAAGACATACTGATGGCCAAGAAGCACATGAAAAGCTGCTCAACATCACTAATTATTAGAGAAATGCAAATCAAAACTACAATGAGGTATCACCTCACACCTGTTAGAATGAGCATCATCAGAAAATCTACAAACAACAAATCCTGGAGAGGGTGTGGAGAAAAGGGAACCCTCTTGCACTGTTGGTGGAAATGTAAATTGATTCAGCCACTATGGAGAACAGTATGGAGGTTCCTTAACTAAAAACAGAATTACCATATGATCCAGCAATCCCATTACTGGGCATATACCCAGAAAAAACGATAGTTCAAAAACACACATGCACCCCAATGCTCATTGCAGCAGTATTTACAATAGCCAGGTCATGAAAGCAACCTAAATGCCCACTGACAGATGAATATATAAAGCCATAAAATGGGACGAAATCAGCTCATTTGTAGAGATGTGGATGGACCTAGAGACTGTCATACAGAGAGAAGTAAGCCAGAAAGAGAAAAACAAATATCGTATATTAATGCATATATGTGGAATCTAGAAAAATGGTACAGATGAACCAGTTTCCAAGGCAGAAATAGAGACACAGATGTAGAGAACAAACGTATGGACACCAAGGGGGGAAAGTGGATGGGGGCATGAGCTGTGAGATTGGGATTGACATATATACACTAATATGTATAAAACAGATAACTAATAAGAACCTGCTTATAATAAATAAAATTAAATTTTAAAAAAGGAGAAACACACAGGAGGAAGGTTTGAATGCAAATCAATTAAAAAATCACTTTGCTGGTCAAAAAACTCAAGAACAGGAAGCTCCTTAAGCTGGCACATGAGTCATCCCAAGGACTGCTCAGTGTGGTTCTCTGTTTCTGACACCCACTCTCAACTACCTGACAGTTCAGAGAAGATGAAGTTTCCTTTCCTGACATCAATAACACAGATGAAAGAAGCTCCCCCAGCTCCCGACATTCTCTCTGTTCTCCTGAAACATTTGGAGTAGTTTATTGCCCATCAATGATCCCTATTAATATTTGTAGCCTATTCTATCAGTGAGCTCCTAAATTTGCTACAAATGATGTAGTATTTATTCTAAATCTACTTCTTTTGAACTTCAAATGCTACTATTAGTTGTGATGTACAAATGAATAGACAAAAGGTTTGAAAACCTTTTTAAAACCCTGGAACTATGGTAGATCCTTAGATCAGGTTCTAGCTATAACCATGTAAGGGGTTAAAATATGAGTTTAATTTCTTAAAGATAAGATCGGCAACTTGGCATACCATGAAGCACTAAGCCTGAAACACACATCTGTCCTCTCAGGCATTCAGGAATCATTTACCGAGCACCTTCTATGCATCACGCGTGGTACCCAGAAGCCAGCAGTGAATAGCTATGGTCAGAAGATCCGACTTAGATTCATCCTTCTGCCAGAGCTTCAGCTCTTCCACAAATCACTTTACTCTGAATACAGAAATGCATGTGCATACACACACTCCCTTTAAAATCCGTCCTCGACAACAGCCATAATTCTATTTCTTTACCTTTTCTCCCTAACTACAATTTTAAGATAAAAATTTACTTTATTGCTTCCCATACGAAGTTATGATCATCATTCAAACCTTGTCTTTTAAAGAAAATGTTCTTCTTATGTTATTATGTCTCTAAATAAACCCTACAGTTCTCAAAGCAGCATACCACAGGAAATCAGATAGGTGAACTCTACTTTTCATGGCTAAACTATAGGCAGGAAAGGTCCCCTCACTCTAGGAAGCACCCCCTACCTCTGAAGTGTGGTCCCTAAGTGCCTGGTGGTGGGAGACAGTGGAGAAGTTGAACCCAGAGCATTGTAGAAACTGCTTGGGCAGGATTTCAGCCCATAATTCTATGAGACTCAGGATTAGCCATTCCCCTTCCATTACTAATCACCACATGAGATAATGGTGTGCAGAAAAGAGAGATCTCACTATGAACGATGCCTTCATTGGTATCTTAGCAAAAGGTTACACTGTGTGTAGACAGGAACACAGAGTCCACATTTCTACTACACAAAGGTCAGGTGGTGTTACGGGGTTCATTGTGTCCCTCAAACTTCTTATGTTGATGTCCTCTCAGTACCTCAGAACGTAACCTTATTTGGAGATATAGTTTTTGCAGGGGTAATCAGCTGAAATGAGGTCGTTAAGGGTGGAGTCTAATCCAATATTACTCGTATCTTTGTAAAAAGGGGAAATTTCTTCACAGAGACACGCGTAGAGGGAAGATGGTATGAAAGGACACACGGAGAAGTTGGCCATCTACAAGCCAGAGAGAGAGGTCTGGGACAGATCTTCCCCTCACGGCCCTCAGAAGGAACCAGCCTTGCCAATGACACCTTGATCTTGGACTTCTAGCCACCAGAGCTGTGAGACCATAAATTTCTGTTGTCCCCAGTCTGTGGTACTTTGTTACAGCAGCCCTAGTAACATAAAACAGGTACCTTGAAGGGAAGGTATCAACAAAGGGGTGAATTAAGATGTAGAAAGAACATTCATTGGTCAAGTCACATCCATGTTCTTTGCTTAATAGCTCCGAAAGGTATTTAATTCTAGAGTCTGGCAGAAAATATATAATAGTCACAGCAACTAACATTTATTGAACCCTCACTATGAGCCATGCTGTTCTATACGGTTTCTAACAACAATTAAATAAGGGATGTATTTTTAGCTGGCCCCATTTTACAGATGAGAACACAGACTTGCAAAAGTTACTTGTGTCATGGTCCCAGCAGTCATGACAGCTTCCATCTTGCACGGGTTCCCACATTCTCTGCGGAAGCAGGATGGTGACTTAGGATGTCCTAGAATCACATACCACAGCAGTAACTGAATACCACTTTTGGCATGCGGATCCTGCTTCACATTAGGACAGCAAGAACAGCTATTAAAAGCAATTTCTAGGTCACTTCTAATCCTCTGCCAAAGAAGGAGGGGCCAGAAAAAGGCTGAGTAGAAATAAGAATCCTGTGCCAGAAGTTAGGAAGGGCCTTGGGCTTCCCTGGTGGCGCAGTGGTTGAGAGTCCGCCTGCCGATGCAGGGGACGCGGGTTCGTGCCCCGGTCCGGGAAGATCCCACATGCCGCGGAGCGGCTGGGCCCGTGAGCCATGGCCGCTGAGCCTGCGCGTCCGGAGCCTGTGCTCTGCAACGGGAGAGGCCGCAACAGTGAGAGGCCCACGTACCACAAAAAAAAAAAAAAAAGAAGAAGGGCCTTGCTCTCCCTTGACCTAGTTAGCTCTAGCTAATAGGAAGGTTAACAGAATACGAAGGAGAAAGAGCAAGTTTTGACAGTGCGTTTGTCAACCCTAAGGCTGTTACTAAAAATGAAAAAGAAGAGCCCACTCTTCAAATCTACACCTATTAAAGTTAGAACGCTCTCTCCCCTGCCTCTTGGATGCCAAAAACTAAATCAAAAACTTCAAGAGAAACAAAAAACAAAAAAGGCACACAGCAACAGCCTCCTTTTCCTTTGTCTGTACTCCACTAAGAGGAATCTAACACTAGGTGCCCTTGCTGAGTTCCAGCTGAACCGGGATACCCTTCTAACTTGATGGCCCACTTACTCCCGTTCTTCTCCATCGTAATTCTACAGGCTCCATCCATCACTATTTTTTTCCAAAACCGATATCTACTCAGTCTACTTACTCTGTCTTGCCCAAGCACCTCTGATGACTTCTTACTGACTACATCTTTGCCCTGCGTGGAAGGACCCTTGCATTCGAGCACCAATCTGCCTTCTCAGATCCTCTGCTCCCATCGGACCTCACTGAACCCCAGGCCCAAGCCCCACCTTCGTCTGTGCTTCCCTAAGAACACGCTATTTACTTTGCTAATCTCGTGACTATCCCCTGTGTGTTTCTAACCTAGAACACCTCTTTGACTCACCTTAGGGTTATTCGGCCAAGCCCCTTTCAGTATTACTCCTTCTCTCCTTCCCTTCCACAGCAGCCAGCCTCTCCCGTGGCAAAATTAACCATTCCTAACATTTTGGACATCCTCTTCAAGGAGATCCAAATACTCTGCAACTTTTTTTTTTTTTTTTTGCGGTACGCGGGCCTCTCACTGTTGTGGCCTCTCCCGTTGCGGAGCACAGGCTCCGGACGCGCAAGCTCAGTGGTCATGGCTCACCGGCCCAGCCGCTCCGCGGCATGTGGATCCTCCCGGACCAGGGCACGAACCCGTGTCCCCCATCGGCAGGCGGACTCTCAACCACTCTGCCACCAGGGAAGCCCCTCTGCAACTTTTTGTTGTCATACTTTTTCACTCCCAATGGACAGACGAGAGAGGGACATTTTCCTCATCTTTTTTCCAGCCCTAACACAACCAACGCCTAGCACACTCTAGGGTGGGAAGTCGTTAAACCTCCCATTCCCGTTCAGTAAACGGAATTGAACTGGGCCAGTCACTTAACTTCGGAATCTGTTTCTTCATTTGCAACATTATGAGATTCTGGCCATTCTGCCTATCTTATGGAGTTGCTATGGAAACCAAATGGGATAATGTGTGGGAAAGTACACTGAAAACTAAAAAGCACTTATGGCTACAGAGCTGTACTGCTTCTTTAGCAGAGAAGCCATGTTTCTCATCTTTTGTAGCACACAGAAGGAAGGACCACATGTTATCAAAGAAGTCAGAGGACTGGGAGGGGCCCGTGCATCATGAGGCTTTGGCAAAGAGCATGAAGCAAAACACATGGGCAGGTTATCTCCACTCAGCCAAGTCAGTATCATTCCTTCCATACTATACCTCACCAACCTCCAGATTCCAGGTGGATTCTCTAGGGGTTATTCCTTCGAGTCTGTGCCATTATCCATAGACCCTAACACCACATAAAACACTATAATTAGAAGGACCTAATCAATACTAATCAGAATTCCTCCTTGGCACAAACACTGCCACTAGATTCCATATGAAATTCAAGTCAGAAAAGGGCATTTAGTGGACCATGCCTTCCTAATTCCAAAATATTAATAAACCCAAACTCCAGGAAACACTGTCTTCACGTAGATCTTTTGCAATAACGTTAAAATCTCAGTTATTCAGTGCACTTCCTTTTTTTTTTTTTTTTTTTTCAGTTGCAGAAACCAAACAGATGAATCAAACTACATGGTAAGCAAAGTAATCCTCAGAAGGTCAATTATACTTAGGTGAATTACTTCCCAAGATGATGTAATTTTTACTGAATTTTTTTTCTGGTATCATATATTCTCTAAGAAGTCTTCTGTTGGCTGAAGTTCTATACATCATCTTTGCCATATGCAGATTTTTACATCCCCCAAATGAAATATTTCAAAGGCTTTTTAAAAACACTAATAGTTCATAAGGATATAAAAATGTCTTACCTCCTTGGGGAAAAAGGGTCCAAGGATAGAATAGCACATCATGGAACCTAAGTTAATGGAAGCTGCTGATATCAGTACAAAAATCTGTTCTCTTGAAAGCTGCCTGGATGTCTCCCTTGCACCTCCTGGAGGGCCATCACCTTGAAGGCAAACATGCTGCAATTACAGACATGTAATTGGGGCTACTGATCAAAGTACAGAAACGTCACTTCTGTGCACAGAAATGCACTCAGGATAACATCTGCTGAGCTAAGGGCTATTTTGAATACAGCACATTTGATCAAATGTAACACAATCCCTGTATATCACTGCAATTTTCAAAATATATCACTTTCATTTACATACTATTCCCTATTAGGATTTCAGTGCACAATTTATCAAAGCATCTGCTTTGTTTTGCCTTCACCATAAGGTCTATTTCTTTCACCTTTAATAGATTCCTTCAAGAAGAATGAGGCCACAGGGTGCTCTCCAGAGTACTGTTCTCTGAAGTATAGTGTGCTTTCTCAAGTTACTAGCTTCATATGCTACACGGACTCAATCACATTTTAAGCATGTGATGTTAGCGGTTTATTAAGAGGGTACTATTGAAGTCAAGTGAAGTGTAAGTAGGAGAAAATAAGCTAAATCATTCAACTGGAGAATTAATACTTACAATGGCAGCTCCTGGAAAGACAAGTGCCATAAATCTGTACATCAGTGTTTTACAATAATTACAGGTCTTCTGCATCAATTAATTTAATACTTATTCCCAGGGCTAAATTTCCATTTAATTTAAAGACACGAGGTCATTTACTCAGTTCCAAACATCCAGTAAATAAATCTATTTGCTATTTTTAAATTAAATGGTTTTGAGATAAAAGAAATTTAAGTAAGAAAAGTATATTTGAATTGCTCTATTTTTTCAGAGGTTGCTATTGCTGTCTAGAAAAAGAAATCTGTGCAACAGGAGAAAGTCTTAAGAATCTGTGTAAAAATTTTGGTAGTGGATGAGGAAGGGAACTGAGAGAAAGTTAAAGGGGCGAGAGGGACAACAGTGGGGCTCGTTTTCGTTTGTCTAACAGGCACACTTACCTGAATGCATTCTTAAACACATAGTACTTAAAAGTAGAGCTACAGAGAGAAAGTCATTAGAGGCCACATCCGCACCACCCCAGTGCGCAAATTTTAACCCTTTCCAGAGAGAAAAAACACGCTGACCCGAGCCCCACCGCCAGGCCCCTCCTTTTCGAATCTCTCGCAAACAAACCACGCTAAAGCTAATTCAATTGCTGTTAAAGAGACACGACCCAAGCCACAGAGGTACATCCGGCCTCGCTGCTCTCTGTAACCTCCTGGGGGGCGTGGGCCTTCGGGGTCCCCCGGCGAGTCCATGGGCAGTGCGCGGACTCCTGCGCCGCAGCTCCCAGGTCCAAGCCCGCACCCTCGGACTCGACCTTGAAAGAGCGGAAAGGCGGGCGGCGATTGCTCAGCCGGGCCCAGGCATCCCGGATTCCCTACGGGTAGCGCCCCCGGGAGCTCCACGCGGCCCTAGAGGATAGGGAGGAGCTCCGGGAGGCGGGGCGGGGGCGGGCGGAGGGCGGAGCAAGGACTTTTTTTTTAAGGCGTAGGCTGTTTACGTCCACCACTTAGGATGTGCTGTACTTTTTCTCTCTGTATGAGAGGAAAAAAAAAAAAAAGGATGAGTCTATATTTCATATAGTTGAACCCCCTACCTTAAAATGAGTAAAATTTAGGAATACTAAGAGTAAGAAAGGAAGCTAGGTAGACACAGAAAAGATAGGGAACACCTAAACTTAAAAACACAAATGTGAATTAGAAAACTAGGTTCATAACGACCCCTTTTTTTTTTTTTAAGTGAAAGCAAGTTTATTTAGAGAGATACACATTCCATAGGCAGAATGCAGTCCGTCTCAGAAGGCAAGAGCAGCCCAGATTTTTTATTTAAAGTGTGTTATTCTTCGTAGTGGGTAAACGATGTGGTGTTTGTAATCACCGAAGCCAGACATTAGTAACCTGGCAATGAATTAACTGATGTGAAGTACCCGGATTAGAAAAATATTTGCGGGAATTATAGTGAATGCTGAAGACGCATGGCCATGGCGGAGTGGCTGGGAGTATCCCCCTGGAGGCAGAGGCTTGAGGTTCAATTCAAGGCACTAGTCGGCCCTCTGTATCCTGCTTCTGCATTTCTCGAATTCAACCAAGGAAGGAGGGGACTGAAAATATATTTTTTAATTTTTTTGGAAATTTCCAAAAATCAAAACTTGAATTTGCCAAGCAGTAGCAACGATTTACATATCATTTAAATTCTGTTTACAACTATTTATACATCGTTTACACTGTATTGGGTATTATAAGTAATCTAGAAATGATTTAAAGCAAATGGAAGGGTGTGCTGTAAGATATATGCAAATTCTATGCCATTTTTTATAAGGGACTTGAGAATATGCACTGGGGAACCGATACCCTCTGATACCAAGGGATGACTGTACTAGCTGTATGTGACTTTGGACCACAGGTCAGTTTCTCCATCTGTGTGACTGAGATTATAATGCCTATCTTGTAAGATGGCTGTGAGCACTGGTGATAAACTATGTGAAGGGCTTGGCACTCGAACATGACGGCTGCTCTGTTACTCTCACCCTCACAATTTTCTGGCACAAAAAAATAAGAGGCTTCACTTATCTTCAACTTATTTACTATTTGGGAAGGGTTAATGTTTGAAGACTGGGAAATTCTTAATTTGGGGCCAAGGTAAAATAAAGTAACTCAAGACCATTGAGTTACTACCTAGTGCCAAGCATTGCAAGTTCAAAGATAAGTGAGCCCCATCCAGCCTCTGCCCTTAAGTAGCATACATACCGCCTTCTAGCAGATAAAACAGACACTGATTAAAAATTTATTATAATGCAATGAGTTCTATAAGAGAAACATATTGGAAGAACTGTTTACTTTGGCTAAATGAGTCCAGGCTGGCTTCCTGAGGAAGTGATGTTACAGTGGGTCTTGAAGATTATGTAAAAATTCCTGGGTGAGCAGGCAGGTTAGAAGAGCTTTTAGAGCCATTCTAAACAGGATTAGCTCTAGCAAAGGTTCCTTGAAGCGGCCTCCAGAATCTTTATGATCTAATCCCTTCCTGTTTCCCCAATCTTATTTTATTCTGCATTCTTGCTCCAGTCTAACATCAAGTCATAGAGGAGAATTTTTTTGAATTACTTCTTTGATGACTACACCCCCTTTTTTTTCTCTCTCTTTCTGGATTGCTCTTTATGTAGCTATTGGGTCGCTAGACTATTGGGTCCTCTTACTTATTACTCTTTTTCTCTTCTACTTTTCATCTCTTTCTCTCTTTGCTTCATCTTACTGGAAGTTTCCTTAACTTTATGTTCCAATCCTTCAACTGAATTTTTCATTTCTGTTGTCATGTATTTCCCTCTATCCCCATTCCCATTCCCTCCCCATCAGCAATCCTTCTTGCATGTTTAATACAAATTTTTTGTTTTTATGTATTTTAATAAAATGCATGTTCTTGTTTTGCATTCATCTACTTTTTTTTTTTGGGGGGGGGGTATGCGGGCCTCTCACTGCTGTGGCCCCTCCCGTTGCGGAGCACAGGCTCCGGACACGCAGGCTCAGCGGCCGTGGCTCACGGGCCCAGCCGCTCCGCGGCATGTGGGATCCTCCTGGACCGGGGCACGAACCCGCGTCCCCTGTATCGGCAGACGGACTCTCAACCACTGCGCCACCAGGAAAGCCCACATCCATCTACTTTTAATTTACAATAAGATTTTGTGGTACACATATTCATACTCCTATCTTCCTCTCACATCTAACCTCTCTTTCCCATCCTCCTTCCAGATCCTTAGTGTTATGGTCGAAAATATTATCTCATTCGTCTTCTGTGGCTGCTATAACAAATAACCACAAATTTGGAGCTTAAAATAAGCTGCATTCTGCAGGCCAGCAGTTCAACATCAATTTCACTGAGCGAAAATCCAAAATGATCTCTTCATCTCAAGATCTTTAACTTAATCACCCTTTTTTTCCAATAAGTTAACATTTATAACTTGCAGGGATTAGGATGTGGACATATATTTGGGATCAATTATCAGCCTACCACAATCATCTATTCATATTTTTATATGTTCATGTAGACATATATACACATGTGAAACATTTTTTCTTTACGAACTAAAATGGAATAATATCGTCTCTGTTTAAATGTCACTTCCTCAGAGTTCATTCTTACCCCATATCAAAACACAGACCCATAACCCTTTTTTTTAACATCTTTATTATAGTATAATTGCTTTACAATGTGTGTTAGTTTCTGCTGTATAACAAAGTGAATCAGCTATTCATATACATACATATATCCCCATATCCCCTCCCCCTTGTGTCTCCCTCCCACCCTCCCTATCCCACCCTTCATTTTCTGCTTAAATGAGCAAAATTTCTTTTAATAGCAACAGGGAACCCTGATTGCTACAAATGCTAGGAAGAAAAATAAAGAAGGATGAAGGGACAAAGGGTTACAGGAAACAACTTTTGCTCATTTAAGCAGACACTGAATGTATCACAGGTTATTAGGTAAGGTACAGGGTTATCAGGAGGATTATGCACACCACTTAGAGGCTACGTGCCTAAAATCACAGCACAGGAGCGGCCCAGTACCCAGACTGCGTCAGCACTGCTGGAGGTAGGCACCAGACACTACAGTCAGAATCTCATCCCTACTCCCCTGGAATGCTGCCCTCCCTGCACCGGGGGGATTTCAGGTGAGGCCATCTACTTCCACTTACTTGCTTCCATCACTTGTCAAAGTCTGGTATGTTTGAAGTCAGGGAGTGAAAATTCTCCAACTTTGCTCTTTTTCAAGAGCAGTCTAAATATTCTGGGTCCTTTGAATTTCAATAGAAATGTTAGAATCAGCTCTCAATTTCTCCAAAAAAACCTGGGGGGGATTCTTATTGGGATTTTGTTGACTCTATAGATCAATTTAGAGAGAACTGACATCCAATTAATATTGTCTTTTTATTCATGAACGTGATATATCTCTCCACTGACATCAATCTTCTTTAATTTCTTTCAGAAATGTTTTGCAGTTGTCATTGTAGAGGTATCTATGACATGCCTCACGTCAAGTTACTCCTAAATATTTTGGTTTTAGAAGTTATTAAAATGGATTTTTTTACATTAACTTTTCCAATCACTTGTTAATTATATATAAAAGTAAATTAATTTTTATATTAATTTTGTATCCTGCAATCTTGCTAAATTTCCTCATTAGTTCAAACAGTTGTTTTATAGATTCTTTTAGATTTTCTGCATAATCATGTCATATATGAATGAGTTTTACTTCTTCCTTTCTGAAGTGTATGCTTTCATTTTTCACTTACTTTATTGCACTGACTAGGATTACCAGGAAAATGTTGAATAGAAGGGTTGAGAATGGAGATACTCACTTTGTTCCCAATCTTAGGAAGAAAACACTAGGTCTTCTACCATTAAGTATGAGGTTAGCTGTCGATTTTTCATATGTACATTTTATCAGATTGAGGAAGTTCTCATATTTCTAATGTATTGAGGGACATTAACATGAGTTGGTGTTGGATTTTTATCAGAAGTGTCTTTTGAATTTGTTGTAAATGATTTTTCTTATTTATTGTTTTGATATGATAAACTGATCAATTTTCTACTGTTAATCCAACCTTGCATTCTTGGGATAAACCCAATTTAGGACATACAGTATTATCTTTTTTATATAAGGTGGGTTCAATTTGCTAAACTGGATAAGGATTTTTCTACCTACGCTTATGAGTAACGTTGTCCTGTAATTTTCTTTTCTTTTGTCAGGTTTTGGTATCATGGTAATCCTGGACTTGTAAAACAAGATGGAAGTTTTGCCTACTGCCAATATTTTCTGGATGAGTTTGTATGAGATTAGTGTTATTTTTTCCTTAAATGTCTGATAGAATTCACCAGTGAAACCACTTCTTTCACTTTCTTTTGACTTATTTTGCCCTTATTTTTTATACTTTAGAAACATATCATTGATGTTAGCCCTTTCTTCTTTTCTAATATTAGCACAAAAGGTTTTAAATTTCTCAACATGCACTGCTTTAACTACATCCTGCAAATTATCATATAATTTGAAATATTTTCTAATTTTCCTTATTTATTTATTTTTCCCATGGATTAATAAGAAGTGTGTTTCTAATTTTCAATTATTGGGGGATTTTCCAGATATCTTTATATTATTGATTTCTGATTTAATTTTATTGTGGAATATTTCTATCTTGGAAATTTCAATCTCTTAAAATTCATTGAAAGTGTCTTATAGCATGGCATGCATTCCATCTTTGTAAACAGTATCATGTGCACTTGAAAATAATAATATTCTACTGTTGTTGGATGTAGTATTTTATAAAAGTTATTAGGT